GTATTAGTTGGTTTGTTTTAGTTGTTTCCTGGGAAGAGACTGATTCGAGATTATGGTTGCTTGATTTAGGTGAGTTTTCTTACTACATTATATGTAAGATTATATGTCCTTTGTGTGTTAGGATGTATATGTTCTGTTAGTGTATGCATATATGATTATACTAGATTGGTCTTTAGTTATGATTGTTGGTTGTGTTGGATTAGTGTCTAAGTCCATAACTATTTTGGTATGTACTTGACCCGATGGTGCATGGTCCTTTTGGGTTGCCTTCACCAAAGCAACTTGATAGGATGAATTATGGAGAGAAAGGATTAAATATGATTTATTAATATATTATGAGAATAATATATTAAAGGAGAAATCATATTGGTTAATTAATATTAGTCAAGAATTGATTAGTAATTATTTTTGTAACTAAAAGAGATTAATTAAACTTAAGGGATTGGAATTGTAATTACAAGATAATTGCAATTTAGGTTATGGATTGCCTTATATTAAGGGGTGGACGAATTCTATGGGGAAGCCCATAAGGAAATCATCCAAGGCCTTAATTAAAGGAGTTTATGGGTTGCTTAGGGATTAAGCATCCAAATTAGGGTTTCCTTGTTAGATAACCCTAATAGCCTCACTATATATAGACCCCTTAAGGACCAAAAACGGGGCTAAGATTTCTTCTAGGGTTAGAACAGGTTTTGGGCAGCCTCTATCCTCTCTCCTCTTCATCCTCTTGTTTTTGGTGTTTGTGAACCATTAGAGGAGTGACATTTGTGACTCTAAGCTTTCTAAAGTCAATACAAGGAGATTTGGGATTGTTATTGCTACATAACAATCAAGGTATGATCGTAAACCTATTCTTATGTTAATATGATTACTTGAATGCTAGAATTAGGGTTTATAGTCTTGGATAATTTGCATGTACAATAGAGAAACCTAGATCCAAGCATTAGGGATTGTATGAGCACATATGATGTTCTTATTACCAAAAGCCATCAGGTTGATCCTATGGCCAAGAGCCTTCAGGCCAAGTAGGAGGACGGTTGGGAGTCTACAGGTTAGTTGTGATGTTGACATGCTCAGGTGTTTAGTGTGAACTTACTATATATATATATATATATATATATATATATATATATATATATATATATATATATATAAGATCGGGTGAGTTCTCTTTTTAAAGTGACGACTCGTGAGGACACCTTAAAAAATTTTAAAAAATATAAAAAAATACAAATTATATAATCGTGCAAAATACTACATCGGAGAGAAAAAAATTGGAAAAAAATTTGATCATTAAAATTGAAGTATGGATCATTTTTATGATCCACGATTCACTTGTTATGATCCATGATTCAATTTTTATGATACAAAAGAAATTTTCAATTTTTTTCTCCCGGACATATTATTATGCTCAATTTTATGATTTGTATTTTTTTCAGATTTTTTTTCAATTTTTTTAAAGTGTCCTCACGAGTCCACACCGAAACCAAACCATATATATATATATATATATATATATATATATATATATATATATATATATGTATATATATATATATATATATATATATATATATATATATATATATATATATATATATATATACTAGAATGTATGGTATACTGGGAACTCACTAAGTTTTGTACTTATGTTTTAAAGTTAAATGTTTACAAGTTGTTTTGGTGATAAAGGGAACAGGGCAACATGACTATACACTCACATTGTTGTTATAATTATGATTTGAGACTTCTATTGATTTATGTTACAGGTCTGTTTTGAAGAACATTTTTATGACTTTTGAAACAATCTGATGATATGTTATTTTTTATGATGGTTTTTGTGACATCCCTAGTTTTTTCAGCAAGAAAAGAGCGTTTTATTTTTGCTTATTTTATAACAAAATTTATTAATGGGTTTTGAGCATTGCAATCAATCTAATGTGTGCATGCAACCCTAATTGTTGGATCTAGATTTTCTCTATTAGACATACAAGCATTAAACACAAAAACCAGAAACCGTAGAATGCTTCTACTATTTTTGAAATTAATAAAATAGGGATTAAAACACATACCTTTATTGTTATATTGTAATAACAATGGATTCTTTGAAGATCTTGAATTTGAGAACAAGTGTCACAAGTGTAACACCTCTAATGGCTCACAAACACGCTATGTAAGACGATAAGAGGAAAAAGGAGGGAAGTTACTCAGAGTTTCGACTCTTCTAGGGTTTCATAAGCATGGCCAAAACTTAGAGGGGTGAGGCACCTTTTATAGTTAAGGTTGCTTAGTCCCAAAGTTATGGTTTGCTGGTGGAAACCCTAATTTCCAGCTTGACGACTAAGTAGCGCATAGAGTCCCCTTCTCAAGGCCTTGGAGGGAAATTATTAGGGACTCCCTAGAATTTTTGGCCAACCCTCTTTAGGGTGATCCAAGAGCCCAAACTCCAACTAATGTATTGCAAAACATCCACTGTACTTTTAATTAATTCCTTTAATCCCAAAATTAACTTCAAATTAATTTCTGATCAAATATTAATTAAATAACATGATTTCTAATTAATATATTCTTTTCATAGCATATTAATAAATCATTTTATATACTAATTTATTATTCCAAATAATAAATTCAATCTCTCTCTGCAAAAGTCATCATGTCAAGTTGCTAGTATGAAGGCAACCCAAAAAGATTGTGCTACTATCAGGTCAAGTACATACCAATTATAGTTATGGGTTTAGACACCTAATCCAATAATCTCCCACTTGGATAAGTCTAATAACTATAATTGCAAGCATAATTTCAAAATTGACTAGCAAATTGCCGCTGTCAAACTCTGAACTATTCAGTAACATGTCCTAAGATAAGTGATCATATAACCCTCCATTCTGCAAGATATCATGTGGCCAAATGACATGGAATATAATCATTCTCATTGTCCAACAGTTTGTTTCCCGATTTCGGATTTGTAATGACAAAGAACTTATATGAACACATCAATTCAGTCCTGACCGCGCCCAACACATAAGTCATCGAGGGGCGCAAGATATCGCTTTTCCCGTTAGGGCAAAAGGAATAGATAAACTTTGACTTATATGCTTGCACTATTAACTCATCAAATCTTGCACACCAATACATTTTATAATGTCAAGTTACTAATGCGTTTACGTATTAACAATGCATAACCAACTCGTAAACAACAACTCATATATCTATGTTTAAAGATTATACAATATTATCATCTCATAATTACTCGTGATAAATTCCATGAAGTAATTCGCTTAGCGTGGGATTAATCTAATACTTAAATATCCATTTCAAAAGTACTCATGAATGTTGCAGCAAACAATTGCTACGTCTAAACACTTAGACAATCTACAAACCAATTCATGACAACCTTGATTCACTACTTACTTCCAAAGTATGATCGACTGTGGATATTTAAATATCCAATTATTCGGGTAGTAAAACATGCAAAATGGAAACACAATGATAAACAATTCACAAAAGATAGTAAACAATACTTATAAACAAATCTCCATTTATTTAATCACTAAAACTAATATCTATTTAATCACTAAAACTAATATCATGCTTCAGATCAATGTTCCTCGCATGCTGAACATGCTTGACCATAATCAGGCCCTTTGTGAGGGGATCTGCTGGATTCTCTTCAGATGATACTCTCTTTACTACGAGGTGTCCTTCTTCTACTTGCTATCTGGTAAAGTGGTATTTTATGTTGATATGTCTAGATCTCCCATGATCTCTTGGTTCCTTGGTCAAGTCAAGTGCTCCTTCATTATTGTAGAAAATCTCTATCGAATCCTTAATCGTTGGCACAACTCCAAGGTATCCAATGAATTTCTTTAACCATATAGCCTCCTTTGATGCTTCACTCATAGCTATATACTCTGATTCACATGTAGAATCAGCCACAGTCTCCTTCTTGGAATTTTTCCAAGTCACAGCTCCTACATTAAGTGTAAACACCCAGCTAGATTGAGAACAGAAGTTGTATCTATCTGTCTAAAAGCTGGTGTCACGATACCTAGTAATTCTTAAGTCATCACTACCACCAAGCATAAGGACCCATTCCTTAGTTCTTCGCAGATACTTAAGAATGTTCTTGACGGCTATCCAATGAGCATTACCCGAATTTCCTTGATATTGACTAACCATGCTCAAAGGAAAAACAACGTCAAGGAAAGTACATGTCATAGCATACATGATCGATCCAACGGCGGAAGCATATGGAACTTGACTCATTTTCATTATCTTCGCATCGGTACTCGGACTCTGAGTTTTACTCAGCTTGATTCATGTTGTTTATATCAATTATATGCTAGTTGTAGGCTTAATGCTTTGGAAACAACATTACATGTATAAATAGAGAAAACATAGATCCAAAGCATTTAGGGTTGTATGTGCACCCTAGGATGTTGTAGTATACAAAACCCAACAGTTATATTATGGGAAGTGAGAGTTTGTTGGAGATATATTCACTAACACAACAAATATTATCATTACAAATGTTGCATACGTCTATTGAGTTACACACAAAGTGCAGTTTAAGTCTAAATTGGCAAAGAACAATGAATAAATAGACTAATTTATGATTCATCACTAATATGATGATTTAATTAGAAACTATTTAAATAGAGCTAGTAGGTTGTTATTCATCATTAATATAATTGAATTAGAAACTAATTTAAGTGAAGTACTTTGATTAGCAATAAGATATAAATACATTATGGAAGGTTATGATTTACGTTAATGATATAAAAAGTTCATCAAACCAATCCATTTTTATTGGCATTTATAACAACTACACACCCTCCCAATCTTGTGAATGGAAGAGAGAGCATTTGTGTTTTAAAGTCTTAGAATGCTAAGAAGCTTTTATACTTATATATTCGCTTTCTTTTCGTTCTCTCATATGTGTGTGATGATCTAAAATAAATTAAACTTTTTTATTAACTCCATCCAACCACCTCACTTTAATGATTAAGTTCTCATTCACCTTAAATCCATTTTGTACGTGTAATATACCAAAACCAAGGTATTACGGAGGAGAGGACAACTATATAACCTTATATTCATTTAAATAATGTTTTAAGGTATGAAATTCATGTTGAAAATAGGAATACCCCATTTAAAAAAATGGTTAAACCAAATTTTAGGGCTTTGGTTTTTTATTATCCAAGATTTCGAAGAAGGCAAAATAAAAGGAGTTCTAGCCTTTTGGAAAACGTTTTTACTTAAAGATTATATACTTTGAGGTGCGAGTGTGCAACTAGGGGTGCAAATGAGTCGAGCGAAGCCCGAGCCTAACCAGGCTCGGCTCAGGCTCGTTTAAATTACATGAGGCTCGGGCTCATTTAGCTCAATTCAAGGTTTCTTGTACTGAGCTTGGCTCAAGCTCGTAAAAAATTATACAAGCTCGGCGTGGGTTTGAGCTCGGCTCGTTTTTTGTGTAACATGCCTAAATAAGCTTAAGCTTGGTTCGAGCTCATTTACTAATATTCTAAATCCCTAATTCCACAAATATATTTTATTTTAATATATAAAAATTATAATAAATTATATTATATATAAGCTCGTTTAGGGTCGCGAGCCTAATCGAGTTTAGTGACATAGGCTCAAAGCTTGAGCTCGTTTAATTAACGAGTTTAATATTAAGCTCGAGCTCGACTCAGGCTCGTTTAAATCGGTTTGGAGTCAAGCTTTTATCAAACGATAGCTCACAAGTAGTTTGACTCGTTTGTACCCTAAATACAACTATGATAGATAGATTCTAGCTTGAGTCCTTATCATCCTCTTGGTCATTGAATTGAAATAAACATATTAAGTTATCCGGAATATACTTCACCCTACCGACGTGGTGGTAAGTAGGCCATGATCACACCACGCACCCCCAACGTGTGTTAAAGCCATAGTATGTGGCGAAGTGTGCCATAAGCCATAACTTCCACCACCGATGGCATGCTAGATACTCTGGGGAGCATAAACACCATTTATGGCTTAGCTTTTTGAAAAATTAAGTGAACACATATCAAAAACTAAATTATAATGTTCTGTTTTATTGTTTCCATTGTCAGGAATAGTTAAATTATGTTTTTAATAAAATGAGTCAACACAATTATACACAATTATAATATAATAATGGGATGCAACCAAAATCAACACCAATGTGCCTCTAATTAATATTAAATTTTTATTTTTAGTCATTATTCTATCATTTTAATATGCTCAAACATCGAAGTCGACAAAGTTGAAATTATTCAGCAGCCTAAAATTGAATTAAAAATAACACAAAAATACAAATCGACATGTGTCAAGCACCAATTGTTCCTCCCCACGTTCAAAAATGATTGAAGGCCATTCTTTACGCGTCATAAAGAGACTCTGCAGCTCATTTCTTCTAATATTCCTTCACTGAACCCCTAAGTACAACTCCCAATGCCAAACGTACAACACCCACATCTCCCCTTCTCTCTCTCTGACATAAAGACACAGACCAAACTCTGAATATAAAACCGCCGAACCAGAGGACCGGCCATACTCTGTCGGCCATTTACATAAACACACCAGATCCAAACTACAAACCGTTAATGGATTCTTCCGACCAACGGCGGAAGAGAAAGCGTTCTCTAAAACCCACCCACCATTTCTTTTCACTAAGATCTCTGCTTTATTTCTTCTCTTTCTTTGCTTTCTTCTTTATCCTTTTCCGGCGAAACACGCCGTCGTTTCACCATGTAGTCGTGCTTCCCGGATCATCAACATCATCTTCAATTCACCGACTATTCTCCGGTGAGTTGACTCGGTTTAAGATAGACGATAGAGTTCTGTTCCCTGATCATATTTTAATATTACTTTCCGGAATCGGAATTGGAAGTTGGAACGTTGTCGGAAATGGAAAAGGATTGGAGTGTATTTACAGAAATAATTATACAGAGGAGGAGGAAAAGGGTGTGGCAGTGTTATCGGTGGATGAATACAACGACATCCAGTGGCTTGTCCGTTGTCCGCTTCCTCCGACGAATTTCTCATCCGTCGTCACTCTCCGGAGCCGGGGAACGATCACGATCGCTGATACGACGGTTGTAGCAATGAATTATTGGGAGAATTTAGCATACGAGGCGGTGTTGGACGGGAACACGGCGGTGGTGTTCGTGAAAGGAATTAGTCATAGACAGGATAAAGCATCCGACCCGAATCGATTCCGATGTCATTTCGGGTTTGGGAATCAGAATTACATTCTCACCTCAAAAGCACTAACCGCCGCTCAGGAAGTCGTAAGGTGTGCGTTGCCGAAATCCCTCGAAATCCACCCGGAAAAATCTCAGGGAATTCGAGCCACCGTCAGTTTCCAACTCCCGATGAGAAACCACCACCACCGAACAATTTTTGTTCCATCGGTCGCGAAATTATCAAGCTCCAAATTCGAGATAAACACCCCAAAACACGACCTTTGCGTCTGCACGATGCTATGGAACCAAGCGGATTCAATTCGCGAATGGATAACCTATCATTCATGGCTCGGAGTTCAAAAATGGTTTATCTACGATAACAACAGCGACGACGGGATAGAATCGGTGATAAACAAGCTCGATCTCGAGGGTTTCAACGTCAGCCGCCATGTTTGGCCATGGATCAAAACTCAAGAAGCAGGATTTTCCCACTGCGCAATAAAAGCCAAAAGCGAATGTAATTGGGTTTCCTTCATGGACGTCGACGAGTTCTACTACTTCCCGAATCTCCCCGGACATGGCGCTTTACGAACCCTAGTATCAAACCACACTTCATCGCCATCAATTGGAGAACTAAGAACGCGTTGCCATAGCTTTGGGCCATCGGGGTTACGTTCGCCGCCCAAAAACGGCGTAACGGTGGGGTACACTTGCAGATTACAGAGGCCTGAACGGCATAAGTCGATTGTGAGACCAGAGGCATTGGACACGACATTGATGATGTGGTGCACCATTTCCATTTAAGGGAAGGCTTTAGGTTTCTTGATGTGGGTCAAAATACAGCGGTGATAAATCATTATAAGTATCAAGTTTGGGAGGTTTTTAGGGCGAAGTTTTATCGGAGAGTTGCGACGTATGTGGCTGATTGGAAAGATAGCCAGAATGAAGGGTCCAGAGATCGAGCCCCCGGTTTGGGGACTGAACCGATTGAACCGGCGGATTGGAGGTTGAGGTTTTGTGAGGTTTGGGATACCGGTTTGAGGGATGTTGTGTTGGCTAATTTGGATGATGTTTTGCCTAGGGGTAGATATTTGGGGGGCATAGATATATAACATATACAGTAATTAATATACAGATTGATTTATTATTGTTCACATGATGTATATTCTTTTGTTTCATTGTGAATTACATTTAAAAAAATTGGAGGAATTGAATCGAGTCTACTCGACAATAGACAACCCAATAATGAAATGGAATCTTCAATTCGTGTTATGTTGGATTCTATTGGAATCTTCAATTTGAGAAAAACGGAATCATTTTACTTGTCATTGATAAAAAGTTGAAAATTTGAAGTGAAATTTGTTGAAAGCATCATGGTAAAATACTCTAAATTTTGAGGAATTGGAATGTAAATTGCTGGTAAAATTCACATTACATTCTCTGTTTCGAAATTTACATTAAATTTTAAGGCTATGTTTCGAAACAATTTAAAGGAATTGGAATGTAAATTCCGATAAAATTTGTTTTTAGTTGGGAAATTAAATGAATAAAAATTCTCTAAATTCCGTTATATACTCTGTTTGAAGGTACGGGCATCAAAGCTTAAGGATTTTAGATTTCATTTCGTTTTATTAAAAATATAAGAATAGCTTCTATATTTTTTTAGTTTATTTTGGTCATAATTAATAAAATGAAAACACATTATTATCATCAACAATTTTTTCTTTAAATACTTTTTTTTTATAGATAATACTTTATTCAAAAACATATTCATGGATTGTATTTTAAATATGTTTTCATTATTATAAGTTTCATCAAATAATATATAACAAAAATAAAAATATCAAAGGACAAATTTAAAGAAAAAGAACTTCAAAAATAAAAAAAAATGAACAATTAATTTTGGATTGAGAAAGTATTAAAAATAAAGTAAATTATAGTTCTGGTCCTTATGGTTTTGTTAGATCCTTACATTTAGTCTAAATTTTGAAATTTGGTTAGATCCTTAGTCTAAATTTTGAAATTTTGATAAGATGCATCCATATGATTTAAAGAATTCATTTAAATAGATTATTTTACCCTTTCTTTTCTTTTATTTTTCTTTCATCATATATATATATATATATATATATATATATATATATATATATATATATATATATATATATATATATATATATATATATATATATATATATATATATATATATAGGGAATGGTTATTTGGAAAACAAAAAAACTCTAAAAATCATAAAAATGCATAAAAAATACTTAGAGATTACAAAAGTTTTTTTTTTTTTTTTTAATAAAAAAATCGTAGGTTTTTTAATAAATTTGCTGGAAAAAAAATCAATTTAAAAAAAAAATTCAAAAAAAAATCAACGAATTTATTTAGAAACTTGTGATATTTTCATAAAAAATTTAAAAAAAATGTTTTGTGATCTCTAATTATTTTTTTATGCATTTTTATTATTTTTAGGGTTTTTTTAGGTTTTTTGTTATATATATATATATATATATATATATATATATATATATATATATATATATATATATATATATATATATATATATATAGAGAGAGAGAGAGAGAGAGAGATCGGTTTATGTGTTCTAGATATGTATTTCGTGGATATAGAAATCAATATGATCAATCGTTTCAAAATGGTAATTTTATAATATTACATTTTAATTAATATTTTTAATTTAATTAATTTGATTCTTAGCCTAACCAAATCCCTTTATATTAGACAATATTTATAAATATGTTAACTATCATTAAGCCTAATAATCTTTATATATTATCATCATCTATGGATTATACGTAATTTTCCATCATATAACCTATTTTCATCGTTGCTTTCATCTTCTTATTGTTCATAGTTTAACAGATGTTCTTGAAAACAAATTGATGGAGGTATTATTTTTTCATTTAATGGATATTCTTGAAGATATATTTTTTTTCATTGTCATAAATACGTACTACAGTTTATTATTGGCAGGATAACTATTATGTTGATAAGAATTCATATGTGAAGTCTTTTACGAATAATGAATACATTGAAGATAAGAAGGTTGATAATGTCAATCATTCCAAGGTAAATGAAGTAGTCAAGAAAAAAAAAAGATGTAGGATTTACTTTGGATTTGGTCATAATAATAGAAATTGTCCTTATGGGTCTATCAAGAAAGCATAGAAGTTCAAGAAGTTTGTCAATTTAGACATTTTAGCTATTATGAAGTTGATTTTCTGTCAAATAAAATTATGGTTTGATGAATTTTAGGGTTTTTTTTATATGTTTATGTTTTTAGTCTTCAAATATTAATAATAGTTCATAGTTTCATGAATTTTAGTGGTTTATGTTTACAATCATTATATATTAATAATAGTTCATGGTTGATGTTTTTTATAAACAAAACGAATAACATTTTAATCCATATTAGTTTATGAATAAAAAGACTTTGATGTTTAGTTTTTTTGTTATATGTCGTGTTGTTAGGATATAAAACATATAATGCCAATTGTCCTCTTAGTCGTATTTAATATTTGATTAAAAACTAAAACAATGCATAACTGTGTAAGTCATATTTTTACAAGATTTTTATAGAATGAAACCGATATAGCAAGACATATTTATATAAGTAATATTTTTTACATGATTCTGGCATAATGTTCCAAATCATTAAAATCCGCAAAAAACTAAATAAATAAATAAATAAATAAATAAAAAAACAATTTAACAAACCAAAAAACTAAACAAATAATTTTTCTTTTATAAAAGTCTAATCTTAATCTTATACTTCAACAAAAGATTTTAATCAAGTATACAATAAATTTTAATGAACAAATCAAATTATAACAATATCGTGATCACATAATAGGATCCTTATCTTTAGAATATTTTAAAAAAAGATAAAAAAAAAAAAAATTAAATCATTCTTAATTAAGGAATGCAGATGCAACATACACGTTTTGAAATCGTGTTTTGTAATAAATAAAATTGTGAAATACTATGTGAAATTGAATGTTTGAGTTCTAACAGATGGTTTTTACTAGAAATGAAGTAAAACTATGTTTAGAATCACTAAGAAAATATTGGAAGTCTTATTAGATTCCAATTAAAAGTCAAATAGTAAAATTTAGCGAAAATATAAAATCTTAAATAAGTAAAATTTTATTATTCAAAGCTGTAAATAATCTCGTTAGAAACTTGTAGGCGAAATCATCGTCGAAATCCGAGTTATAACGAAAAACTTATGATCAATCGAAGATTCGCGACAAAACCGACACGGCGCCAAATGATGTAAAAAGTGAGTTGTTGATAAACTACTTTTTAGCCTTAGTGATCTAAATGAAAGTCGTAGTATTCGTTAAACTGAGAAATTCGATAAAAAGAATGCCAAAATCTGACTTCGTATAAGAAAGTTATGATTTTTTCTAAGTTTCAGATTAGCAGTAGACAGCTAAAAACTCGAATTTTAGATCGAGCAATATTTGGCCGATACATCCTAAACAAGAATCGAAGGTCTCGTCATTTGTAGTACAACGGTAAAAAAGTTTGACGAAAACAGACGTCGGATGAAGAAGTTATGAATTTTTAACAAATTTTCCTGTCCCGGTCTGTTAAAAATAATAATATTAAAATTAAAGTCAAAATTAGCCAACGAAGTCTAAACGAAGTTGTAGAGCATAATTTTAGCTACACGTGCATATAAAGAACGTAAAAAACGGAGCTCATATGCAAAAGTTATGGATTTTAGAAGTTTGGGTGCAGTTTTCGAGAAATTCGCATGGATAAGAAGAGGCCACGTCACCTCGCATGAAGTAGCTGC